TATATATATATATATATTTTGCTGGTTTTTTGTGTTTCTCTAGAGAACCCAATCTAACACAGCACCTAACAACATCATAAAGATATTATACAGTTCAGTGTATTTATTTATTTCCTCTTTGCTTTTTAACACTTTAAAGAGGTCTTTGCAGCAGATTGGCCCAATACAATACTTCATCTGATTTCTTGACTGCTGCTTTTATGGGCATTGATTGTGGATCTAAGAAAAATGAAATCCTTGAAAACTTCAATCTTTTCTGTTTACCATGATGTTGCTTATTAGTCCAGTCATGAGGATTTTTTTATGTTGAGGTGTAATCCATGCTGTAGGCTATAGTCTTTTATCTTCATCAGTGTTTCCTCTTCACTTTCAGCAAGCATAGTTGTGTTATCAGCACATCACAGTTTCTTAACAAGTGTTCTCCAATCCTGATCCCACGTTCTTCTTCATATAGTCCAGCTTCTCAGATTATTTGCTCAGCATACAAATAGATTAAGTATGGTGAAAGGATACACCCGACACACATCTTTCCTGATTTTAAATCATGCAGTATCTTCTTGTTCTGTTTGAACAACTGTCTCCTGGTCTATGTACAGTTTCCACAGGAGCACAATTAAGTGTTCTGGGATTCTCATTCTTTGAAATGTCATTCATAATTTGTTATGACCCATACAGTCAAATCCCTTCATATAGTCAATAAAACATGGGTAAACATCTCTGATATCCCTCCTTCCACGTCCTCTTTGGAATCCAGCTTGAATTTCTGGCAGTTCCCCATCTAGGTACTGCTGCAACTGTTGCTATCTTAAGCAAAATATTACTGTGTGTGATATTTATACTGTTAGGTCATTTCCAGAATGGGCACAAATGTGGATCTCTTCCAGTCAGTTAGCCAGGTAGCTATCTTCCAAACCTCTTGGCATAAGCAAGTAAGCACTTCCACCATTGCATCCTTTTGTTGAAACATCTCAATTCCTGGAATCTTGGAGCTCTAGTGGCATAGTGCCTAAGGCATATGACTGCTAACCAGAAGGCTAGCAGTTCAAACCAGCAACTCTGCAGAATGAAGACTGGGCAATCTACTTCCGTAGAGACTTACCGCCTCAGAAACCCAAAGGGGGCTGCTATGAGTCAGAATCCACTCAATGGCAGTGAGTTTGTTTTTTTTGTTTTTCTCCAGTACCTTCAGTGCAGCTTGGATTTCTTCTTTCAATAACATTGGTTCTTGATCACACACTACTTCTTGAAATGAACATTGACCAATTCTTTTCAGTACACAGACTGTACATTCCTTCCATCTTCCTTTGATGCTTTCTGTGTCCTTCAATATTTTGCCCACAGAATCCTTAATACTGCAACTCGAGGCTTGAAATTTTTCTTCAGTTCTTTCAGCTTCAGAAAGAAGTCTTGCACGTTTCATTCAAATACTTTGTCATCTTGAGCTGCCCTTTGAGATCTGTTTAGCTCTTTTACTTCATTCCTCCCTTTCACTTTAGTTATTCTCTATTCAAGATCAAGTTACAGTGTCTCTCTCTGACATTCGTTTTGGTATTTACTTCTTTTCAGTCTTGTTAATGACCTTTTGTTTCCGTCATGTATGATGTCCTTGATGTCACAGCATAACTTGTCTACTCTTCAGCCATTAGTATTCTATGCATCAATGCCATGGAGTAGGCCCTCACGCAGGGTGATCTGATGCACAATAGAACAAAATGCTGCTGGGTCCTGTGGCATCTTCATGACCACTTATGTACTAGATAATGTTCCATAGTGATCCATAGGGTTTTCATGGGCTAATTTCCAGAAGAGATTGTTAGGCCTTTTTCCTAGTGCTTTTTAGCAACTTACTCAGCATCATAGCAACACAGAAGCTTCCACTGACAGATGAGTAGCCTCTGGATAACTCTATGGTATATTTATGAGGAAATGAGACTCAAAAGGCAAATAATTTAGTATTTTATGAAAATAGTTTTAATTTTGTGGATCCCCATGAAAAGGCCTCAGGCTTCCCAGAGGCTGCTGGCTCCCTCAGGATCACTGAGATAGTTATACTTATCTGGGATACAGGGTGTACAGTTGGTGATTAACTTTGAACACTGTTGCTACCATCTTAATCTCCCACCTATAGTAGCTACTGTGGGTCCAAAAGCTGGAGAAGTATGAGACATTTCATAAAGGCTCATTGGAAGTTTTTGAGCTGGGGACTGATACGATTTGAATTTCTGAGTTACTTTAGGTGCATCCTGATAACATTTTTAAACAAATTTTTTTAAAAATTGTAGGATTTAGTAAACTATGTGAAGGGAGATGATTAAGGATGTAAATGAGAGGTTAGGAAACCACATAAATTAATTTTGGGGTTTCAGATAAGGAAACAAGAGAGATTGCTAATGGTATCTAGGCCCAAAGTGTTGCTGTGCTATTTATGGCTGGAGTAGAATTAAATTGCTCATTGGCACTGAGAAGTTCAAGGCCAAAGTGTTCTAAAAGTCACATCACTCAGCTTGACAATGTAGGCAGGGATGTGGTGGGAAGACAGAAATCAGATTGCTAAAATCACGAAGGAAAATGGAAGATTGCTCTGGAGGCAAATGAAATAAGGTGAGTAAAATGAATTACTAAGTCACCCAGAAAAGTATGGAGCATATATAGATATAATTATTTCATTTTAGGTAATTTTCTGTCTACCTCTGGGGAGAATACCATTCTGTGATAAATAACCTCATTATACCCTGAAAATGCTTTGCAAACACAATAGAAGATATACAAGTTATTCAGTTCCCGTGATGTTTTTATAGTAATAAGATGATTATTAGTACCACCAAGAATATTGAATAAAATGGTGAGTATTTAACATGTCATACTTTGGTTATAGAATCAGTGGGAGGGACACTTTGGACAACAGTGTTTCTGCACTGACCTCCTTCTATTATACTCACCGCACAGATTGCAGCCAAAATCATCTTTCTAAAATTAAAACTTAAAGAAGAAAACAATGTGTTTTAATCTGGAAGGAGTAGAAGATGTGGCGACTGAAACAATCCACGAAGCCCAGAGAGTCTGGGTTCCTATTCTGCCACTTGTCACATACGTGAACGACACGTGCAGCACAACGGTGCCTCCTGTGTCGTTCACCTAGGGTGCAGCAATTAAGTTGGTTCCCCGAAAAAGGGCTGTCAAACGAAAAGCTCGCAAACTGAGACAACGCCATTGTTTACGTAACTTTGGCCAAATCAATTGTTTTCTACGAAATATTCATCTGACAACACGACTGCGTATGCTTTCATGCTTTAATTCTCCGAAGAATCAGATCTACCCGTTTTCCGCTTGCGTTCGGCCACGAGTTTCTGATGCCCTCTCTTCCCTCTCGGTTCACCTAGTGACCTCGGCTTCGGGCTACAGACCAGGAGTCCGAACGGGACGCGGAAGAAGTCGCCCTTTCCGCCTCTTTCTCAGCAATCGTCTGTGGCTCCCGAGTCCCCGCTACAGTCTGGTTACCATTGCAGCGTGTACTACTCTGGCTGGGCACACTTTGCCAGAACGTCTTGGGCGGGAGCACGGAAGCTTGGAGGCAGTGGTAGGGGTAGGAGAAGAGAGTGCGCGTGCGCAGTGGTGTTGCCCGTTCTTCCGGCGATCAGGCACGGAAGAGCGACCCAGACGCAAACACGCACGCACGGACGCACGCCCTCTCGCCCGCGCGCCCTCCCTCCCTTATTCGCGCCGCCGCGGCAGCTCCGGCGTATACCAGTATTGCCGTCCACCCAGCCGCCAAGATGCTGCGGGCCTGTCATTTATCGGGCGTGACTGCTGCTGCTCAGGTGAGCGCGGGAGTGAGTGCCCCGACAGATCGCGTGAGAAGGCGATCTTAGGGGGCAGACAACGGAAAACGGGGGAGGCTTTTGCACTGGGTAGGCCCTAGTACAAATGGATGTGTCCTGGTCGCCTTCATTACGAGAGTTCCGGGCGGACCCGTGAGGCAGTTACATTGGGGAGTTAGTCGGACTGGGATGACTTGAGGGTTATAGCTGAAGTGGGGTGGGGTGTAGAGAGAAGGTGGTGGGGAGGCGGGTGCAGTGCAGAAGGCGTGGCTTTGGGGACTTATCTTCCAATCAGCACCGCGTTGCTCCAGTCGGGGACCAATCGTGGCTGCTGGCGCCTGGGTCGCCGGTTGGGCACGTGAAAGCAGTGGGGTTCGCCCATCCAGTGGTTGAAGGTCGAGGTCGGGAGAACTACAGTTCCCAGCAGGACGTGCGTAGCCTTGGCGTGTTGCATCTTTAATATAGAGGTACCTGGACTGCTGGGATAAAGAGTACGTGGTTTTGAGGGAAAGGTGTCAAAGTTGGAATCATCTAGAGGAACTGCAATTCGTTTTGAAGCAGAGAACACCTCAGAGCTATTCTTATTCGAAACAAAACTGAAAGATTATAGTTTATGGAGCTCAAACTCCTGGTACGTGAGAGAGGACAGGAGTCATGACCTTGTGCTAGTTTCTTAGATTAGTGTAGGGATCTATGTCCCCAGGTGCTGGCACAACTTTGGCTGACATTCAGGGAGCCTAGACACTTAATAACTTTTAACAATTATCAGAGTAGCATTCTAAAATTAGAAAAAGGTAAACCTACTTCCAGTGTTGGGAGCTCTGGTAGCATAGTGGCTAAAGCACTTGACTGCTAACCAGAAGGCTGGTGGTTCAAACCCACCAGCCACTCCTCG